CTCTCTTGCACTTTGCTTTTTTCACTCCCTGGTATATCTTAGAACTCACTCCCTAGATGCTAATTGCGCATTAGTGATCCTATTTTTTATTTATTTGTACAAGTGCTCTTTTTATAAACCAGACAAGTCATTTTCAAGGCACAGACAAGACATTATGTTTTGGGGCATTTGATCATTAAGCTGGCGGAACAGTAGAGTATTAGCTATTTAGAGAGTAGGACACGAGAATAAATGTGTCACTTTATTCAGTGATTCCACCAGTCACTAATGATGCGTTGTCCTCAAACACAGAAGCATCTGTTTGCAGTATTTATCAGAACAGGAGAACTAACCGAATGCAGTAGTTAATGTGATACCTTATAAGCTATATAGGTTAATAAAAATTGTAAATGATATGATTATTGGCTATTATACAAAAACGTGTTGCAGTGGGAAAGGATAGGACAAGGTAAGACATTTTGAATCAGGTTATACTAAGCAAACTTTCTATGATAGAATCTTTTTCTTTTTTTGCCTCCTCTATAACTTTTTAAAAAATATATTTTATTGATTTTTTTACAGAGAGGAAGGGAGAGAGATAGAGAGCTAGAAACGTCGACGAGAGAGAAACATCGATCAGCTGCCTCTTGCACACCCCCTACTGGGGATGTGCCCTCAACGAATGTACATGCCCCTGACCGGAATCAAACCTGGGACCTTTCAGTCCGAAGGCCGACGCTCTACCACTGAGCCAAACCAGTTTCGGCTCCTCTATAACTTTCATCTATAAGATTTTAACTAGGGCTTTGGCAGTTCTAAAGCTGTTTCTACTTCTTCTATATTTCATTGTTACTGAAGAACATTCCCTTGGTTTAATAGTACTCAATTATAATTTTGGTTTCATGAAGGTGGGGGGTGGGGAGGACAAGATCCAGATAGCATAAGCAACTTGCTGGAACACAAAGCAGACAAGTGGTAGAGCTAGCTCAATGGCTTATACTCCCCAATGCACCATAGCTGTTTATTTTTGAAAAATCATCATTGATTTGGTCTCTAGGTGTTTGCCTGAGGCTAGGTAAATTTCTGAACAGTCTTTCTTTTTTGCTATCACAACTGAGAAAGACTAGAAAAATCCAAATGAGTCCAAGTAAAAACAAGCTCGAGAGGGAGTTAACTGGACAGAGGACAGAGAGCAGCATAATAGCAGAACAAATGCAGGAGAAACCTTTGGAATGAGATATTGCTAAGATAAGGCAGGCCTCCTGATCCTTGCTAGTACATACCAACAGACACACTTCTCCCCAGAAATGTAGCAGGGATTCAAAGGGATGAGTTGTTCGCAGGTAAAGGAGTAGAAGGAACTCTTCAGTAAGAAGTACTGGGTAATAGCCAGTCAAATGAACTTGATGTTGCCCTTGGTTTTCTCAGGCAGAAGGATCACATCTTCCCCCGACCCCCAACAAAACTCAGAAAGTAAAAATGAAGAGCCTGGTGAGGAATGCCCTGCTTGGTCCCACTACCGGACTGGTGTGACCCAACCAATTGGTGAGGAGAACTGTTTATATGTCCTTGCCTTTATCATGAATTCCCATGATACGTGGCTCATCTCCCATGTAGAGGGGGAGCTCGCCAAGGATGGGGATCATGCCTCCTCTTTCTGAAGACTTCTCCTAGGCTACATTTCCAGCAGGCAGTCCCCGAAGACATGTTAAAGGGAATTAAAGTAGATGAACTGACTTTTATATAAATGATTGGCTAATGATGGAACAGACTTGTAATTTGTTTGGTCCAAATGGACCAAACCTAGGGTCTACCTGACCACTACTAGGAGGAAGGTTGTGTGAGAAAGAAGAAGACATCAAACAGGAGAGATAATACCTATGACAGTTTGGAAGCCCAGCCCCAGGTATTTGATTCCAAGGGTCCAGGGCAGATACCCATGACTGGTGATTGGGAACTCAGCAGGAATTTGGCTCCAAGGTGACATCTGGGCTGATTCTTGGTGGGCCACATGGGGCCTATCTCATGTTAAAAAGACCCTCCCCCCCAGAGATTAACCAAAGAGCTTATATGCATACTAGAGGCCCAGTGCATGAAATTTGTGCAGGGCCCTTGGCCCTGGCCCCCACTGCAGCCACGGCCTGTTGCAGCTTTGTCCGGAAGGAAGGATGTCCGGTCTAATTAGAATTTTATGCTTTTATTATTATAGATATGTACAATGCATGGACACAGACAATAGTGTGGTGAAGGCCTGAGAAGGGGGTGGGAGGAGGCAGTCAATTGGGGACATTTATAATACTTTCAACAATAAAGAAATTTTTTTTTAAAAGACACCCCACCCTCCCCGCATCCCTGCAAAGATTCCATGCCCCTGGGATCTTTAGCTGTAGGAACTAAGATGAGACAAAGACACACCGACAACTACCTCTCTTTCCCCCAGAGGTTATTTTCTTTGCATGTTTTTTTGTTTTTTTTGTTTTTTTCCTTGAACAGACACACTGTAGGTGTGTCCTTGAAGTAAACTTGATCTATGAACATATGAATTTGGACTTTATATACATCCCGGGATAATTCCATGATCAACAGGTTAGACTCTCACGCTCCTCTGGTGCACTTCGCGTATCATCTAACTGACAAAGTTCTAAACGTGCTGCCTCTTTAGAACGTGGCTACTATGCAAAGTGCCGGGTAAAGAGGACAGCGATTCACAGAACACTGAGCCAGGAGAGTTTCTTCTGCCCCGCCTTTGACAGGATGAAACAGATCACATCATTATAAAGCAACTTTTCATGAAAACTGAGGCATAGGCACCACAAAAAAAAGAGCCTGAGGCTGGTGGACCCGGGACTGACAGGGTGACCACAGAGAAACCAAATCCACTTTTCTTGCTCAGATGTGGCATCACAATAGCTGTCAAAAGCTGAGGGCAGATAAGAGCATGGTTGTGAAAAGTTCACTAGAAACACAGAATTGGCTGATGACTCATATGGGCTTATTGACCAAGATCTCCTCCAACTCCTTGTCGGGGCCACTCATTCCTGCCTTCCACATCTCCCCAGGAGTGCTCCTGACACAGGCAAATGCAGGAGGAAGTAGAAAGCTGGGATTATTTTCACAAACTTAAACTGAGTGCCAGCGATGCATTGAGCTCTTCCGGGCATGTGAAAGGATGAATGAGACTCTCTGATCTTGGGGCACTCAGGATGGTAAATAACGGTACAGAACGATGTGAGTTCTCTAACAGAGTGCGAAGAAAGTTCAAAGGAAGGACATCCAAACCTGAGCCACGGAGGTGGCGGTTACTCTAGGAATAAGCAAGACAACGAGCAAGTGGTCAATGGCCTCACATACTAAGCTAAGGAGGCTGAATTTCAGCCTGGACATTTCTCTACTCATGTACATCAAGGTTGCTATCTGCTTTCTTTGAGACTATGGGATGAAAAACTACAGCCACCACTTGTCTTTGTAAATAAAGTTTTATTGGAGCACAGCCATGCTAGCTGGTGAACATGATTTAGGACTGCTTATGTGCTCTAACATCTGAGTTTAGTAAAGACAGAGACCATATGGCCTGAAAAACGTGAAGTGTTCACTATCCACTTCTTTACAGAAAAAGTCTGCCTCTCCATCCAGGCCAGGGAGGGCGGTGTGCTTTGAAACTCTCTTAGATGTAAGATGTCTAATATCTACTAAATAAATTAAGAAAGGAAAAAAAATAGCTTAAAGGGAGACCCTTCTAATTAGAAGGAAGTGGCAAAAAAGTCATTATTTTCACATGAGGCATCACATGTGTTTGGGGAATACCTTGCTTGTAAGACCCCCAGGGTAGGACAGAAGGGGAAGGAGTCTGTTAGTCTTTTTCTTGAGGGTGACTCTAAAGAGAGGAGAGGACACTGACAGGCATGAGAGGGTGAGGAAGGAAAGTCCTAGTGGTGTGAGAGCCCCAAATAGCTCTGGAGACCTGGGCTGTCTGGTAAGGAACTGTGTAGCAGGTGACATAAGTCTCCCTTAAAAACCATCCCCTTAGACCCAATTTTTAGACAAATCTACTGTGCTCTCAATTGCTTGGGTGAATTTATTTTATTTTTTGGTGAACTCACAGACACTGGGTTCCACACTAGCCAGCTACAAACTACACCGTGGTAATGGGAGCCAGGAGAGAGGAAGCGCGGAGGTATCTCGGGATTCACAGCTCGCTGACAGGCCTCTGGGTTTTCCACAGGCTCCGGAGCGGGGCTGGGGACAGGTTCCCAGTTCCTTTGGATCTCTATACGTTAAAATGAAAAATAAGTTCTGCAACCGCAAGAGCTCAGTAGGCTGGCTCTTGAGCCTCCCAGATAGGCCCGACCTCTTCTTTTGCTCTCGGCTGCGTGGGGGGCAAGGAAGGGACAGTGGTGGCTGCGCAGTTAGTTAGCGGCTCTCCCTCCCGCCCAGCTGCCCGGTGGGCGGAGGCTTCCCTAAGCTCTTGATGGGAGACCAACGGCACATCAGCAGCTTCCCCTGAACGTCACTCTGAGAAATATTTATTTGCCTCATAAATGTGGGTTTATAGGTTTGCTACCTAAACTCTTCACCTCTGAAACTACCTTGGTAAAGAGAAGGACAGGAGGCGTAAGACTCTCCCATTGTATCAGCTGGTATGGGGAAAGGGGGCTGGCGGGGGGGAGTGACACACAGGAGTGTGAAGATTCCCAAATAAAAAAATGCCAACGCCAAGCAATCCTTTGTGTCAGAGGCTTCTGTGAGGCCATTGCACATGGATGTGCACAATGATGACAGCATCTACCCTGCTGCAGGGGCCAGAGGAAAAGCTATTATCACCCTGGGTGGTAACAGCCCTGCTGTGCATACAGGTTCAAGGGGAAGGTGCAGGGAGGCCTCTGCTAGGGTTGATTGAGCTGCTCCTGGTGGGTAGGGAAGGCAGGTAGGTGTGGCCACAGATGTGGTCGAAGGAGGTCAGAGCGGTGGGGCAGTGTTCATTTTCTTTCAGCATGTTGTGATTTGTTAAAGGTTCCTAGGTAAGTGGGTTAGAAACTATATTGTTGAATTTTTAACTTAACTCCCCCCCCCCCCCTCATTTCTGGCCGAAATGAGTAAGTGGTTTGAAAGCACCCTGCAAAGATACCATGGACTGAACAATGTAAATATAGGCAAAAGCCAAAAAACGATGTTTTGAGTGTTCACACCTTTGAGTATGATGTGCAAGCTCTTTGTTGCCCACGTTATAAAGTAAAACAAGGAGTTAACCAGATATGATAAAGCCATGCTCCAAATTTGAAATTATCACTCTATTTAAAATATGATTTGTATCCACTATTGTGAATAGTAAACTTTACATAGCCCAAGTACATATTGTGCCATGAAATATTAATGATAGTAACATGTGTGTGTACATTCTTATAGGCATACTCACAAGCAGACTTTGAACTGTAACAGCAAGTTCTGTCACTTTAAATGCAGTGAGGAAGAGGGTGTTGGGGGAGTATCCTTTGGAAGTTATTCAGTATCTAATCACAATTTCTTAATAAATTGTCAAACATCGATTAGCTGCCTCCTGCACGCTCCTTATTGGGGATCGAGTCCACAACCAAGGTACATGTCCTTGACTAGAATCGAACCTGGTACATTCAGTGGACCAACTTAAATACCCCCGACATATTATACCACAGCAAGTGGTACAGAGAAAACTTAGATGGCTAGGACAGTAGAAGACACTCAATGAGATAACAGCAAGGAAATCCAAATATTCTTGGAAAAGAACATCCATAGGAATAAAGGAAAAAGTGCAGTAATGCTGACCAGAATTAAGATAAAACACAAAATATTTCTCCTCTGAATAGTAATGTCAGGAGATTACATCCTGACATTACTATGGAGCCTTTGAGAATGGATCAGGAAGTTTCAAAGCTATCTGAGGTTGCCCAGAGAAGGGCAAGCTCTGCTTCCGTACTATTCTCCTTGATTTCTTTGAATCTGAATAGACCATCTCTGAAATTTTCCAAGTAAACTTCATATATTATAATAGTGTTTGAGTTGAGTGGGAAGAATAAGAAATCTTCTTTCTTTATTCTTTATGAGAATAAAGAAATCTTGTGTGAGAGTTTGATACCATTCTTAGAGATCCTAGGATGGAAAGATTTATCTTATTCTGCACAGATAAGCCCAATCTTCTAATTTCTTATATGGCCAGAGCAATAAGGACTTTGGTCTTGGATGGCATGGGAGCCTTTATCCAATGCTAGGTCTTTGTGATTATTATCTCTGGGTTGTAGTAAGGCTAGTGAGGGCTCAAATAACTCATGATAGTTTTCTGGCTCAGTTTCTCAATCAGTTATATGAATTGGTTAAAAACATACTCCAATTTATTGTATAATGGTATGAAGAGACATATAGTAAAGTGAAGGCACTTATAGTTAATACTATTATCAAAGGGTATCATTATTATACAAAAATATTTTTTTAAAAAGCAACTAAACATTACCCTTCATAAACTTTTAAGCAACAGAAATTGTCTGACTTTTGCTCCTTGTAGACCAGAGCCCTTGACTCTCATCCAACTTACAACTCTCTTCTCCCAACCTTGGAGCCATCATGTCCATATTCTGTGTTAGCCATCTGGATATTCTCCAGATTAGATTTGTCCATGTAACTTGTTCCTGGAAGATGAGTTCCTTCAAGAGCCAGGTCATAAGCAGTGTTTTTTTTTGTTTTTGTTTTTTTTAAGAGACCATTCACAGTTGAAATACATGAGCAAACTGTGGGAAAACCAACCTATTCTTTTACCTAAGATCTTTCCCATGTCTGCAAGAAAATCACCCAAAAGTAGATACCATGGCACATTGGCCAATCACCATCATGTTGTTTTAACCAGTCCCCTTGACTGGTGACATTCCTGAATCGAAGATGTCCTCTTTAGCAGATAAATCTTCCCAACACCTTCCCCTGTCCCCTTTTATGGATCTCAAACACTTTACAACACAGGACTGGTGGCAGAGAGTGGAGGTTTAGGAGATCCTTAGAGTTACAAAGAGGAATGGTATTGAGGCAAATGACCTCATTCTGCATAGGAGATATGGTCAGTTCAGGATTTCCATAGTTTCTTACTTATGTGTCCCTGGGCAAGATACTAAGTGGAAATAATAATGCCTATTCTGGTAGTGCCTAGCACAGCATAAATGCTCAGCAAATATTTGTGATGATGATGATTATGAATAAGAAGAAAGTGACAATGAAGTTGACCAACTCATTACCACCTTTGCAACTTCACTCTGATTTGGAATGCTACCCTCATTGTTTTGACCTATCCAGGTCCTTCCCATTCTAAAAAGACCCTTAAGAAATCTTCTTCCATCAGCTCCAGGCACAATACCCCATTTGGTAGTATCACAGTCTATCTCATCCTGATTATTTCTTACGTCTGGCCTCCCCAAGGATATTGTAGGCTACGTAAGGGCCGGACCTTTTTAATCTGCTTTGACCTAGCCTGGGTCCGGGCTCATGTTAGCTAAGAAATATCTGGCATCAAACACAGTCCAGAAGATTTCTATTCCCTGGTCACAGAGTGGTACCAAGCACAGTGCAAAGGGAATCCCTCAGCTGACAGCTGCACCTTCTTGGCTGATCAAATCCTCTGGACTTTATCACCCCATATTACTAAAATGGTCTTATGCTGGCAGAAGGGATGGAAACGAGTAAGGGGTTCTAGACACTGGTTTGAGATTTACCACTTGCCTGGATAATTCACTAAGCAATTATTCCTGCTCTAGATATCAGGGCACTAATTATATTTCCACACTCCCAAGAGGTCCACAGAGGTACAGCAGAGGTGAGTTCCTCAAGCTTGGCCGTGCTGGCCCAGACGCTCTGGACGGCCATGGGATTGGGTTTAGGGCAGATGAGAGTTGGTAAAAAAATTATCATGTCCACTGCTATTCTGTAAGCCACTGATGCTCAGGATATGGACCCCATTCTGCTCATACATGCTGCCTCTATTAGCTCTGGAATTCTCTGGCCTGCAAGCACCTTTGAAAATGGGATGGGAACCACAGTTCAACCCAACAAAGGAAGGAAACTTCTGACAAGGTTCTATCCAAAACCTGTCTTCAGCTTTCTCTTGTATCAGCCACATCCTCCTCCTCCATCTTCCTGTCAGGCCGGAGCATAGACACTCTGGCCCTTCAGCTGATGAGCACCCTCAGGCCTGTGGCGTGGTCTCCTTAGTGATTAGCATGGTGTGGTGGGCAGAAAGGGGCTGCTGACTGATGGTTGTGAGGAAGCATCGCAGAAGGCCAGTGTCCCCGAAGGCCCTGAGTGTGTCACAGCAAACCCCTCTGCCTAAGGTCTTCTCTAGGGCCTCCCCACCGCGCTCCTTGCTAATCTCTGGGGCAGCAGGACCTGCCTCTCCAGGCTAGTCTCTGCTTTCTGTTGGTGTTTCTCCACGCTCTCCAAAAGGCGGAGAATGGGTGGGAAGGCTCAGCCACAGGATATTGGACTGTTTACAGTTGGCCAGGCCAAGATTAGCATGAGCACAACATATGCCAAGTTCATTGGAAGTTACATTTTCCCTTTGTTTACACATTAAAGGGGAGAAGACCAGAAGGAAAAAAAAAAAAAAAAAAAAAAAAAGCAGGTGACCTCCTGGTAACCTCGCCCGTCTGCAAGAGGCTGCTGCCCTCACCTCTGAATGAACTTTCAGATTATCTCAGACAAGATTCACCTTGCGCTGAACTTGTACGCCTGCTCTGAAGCCCCCAGTCACGTAGCTGTGATTAAACATTACAGAGTGGCCATAAATTTACAGAAGTATTATTGTGGCTTGCTTTCCTCTTTCTTCTTTGGGAGAGGAAGAGAGCAATGGGTTTAGGGTGGGGGGAAGTTAAAAAAAGGGAAACGTAGTCAAACAAACAGTTCCTTCTCACAGTTCTGAACAAAAGAGAAAACACTGCAGATAGGTGTCCCAGAAAGAAGGGGAAAAGAAATTTGGCCACGTGAGAAGAATGAAAGTTCTAGAAGACCTCAAAAGCCCCAAATTCAACAAAATAGCCACGGTGCTCTGCTCCCATTTCCAGGCAACCTGAAAGTTCGCAGGTGAAAGCCGGGCCGGCTCTGCCATGCCCCTGACCTGTCTGAAGGGCGGCCCTGCAGCAAGACTTCTGCCCGAGAGAGTGATGCTCATCCTCAGGTTTGCCCTACAGGAAGGGGCAAATGGACAGGGAAGCAGGCCGGGGAGAGAAGGCTGCAAAACACAGTTTGTTTTGTTCTTTGAGCCACTGTGAGCGAGGAGGACGCCCTAACATCTGGGACATTTAAAAGGAGATTGGACAAAGACTAGACCGTATTCTAAAGGAAACACCCTGAAGCTATACCCAGGAGACTGACCAGATGACCTCAGAACATTTATTTCTATGATTCACGGTTTTATACTTAAAGTAGGAAGAGAAATGGATATTCCACTTAAGTAAAGTTTGCTAAATCCTCTAGGATTCCAAAGCCAAGATACGCCTGCAGACGCCTGTGCTGGTCATTAAACAATGAGACCTCTATAACCAGAAAAGGCCACGAAGTGCTCTATGTGATCCAGACGAATTGTAAGAAGTGGTCAGGAAGCCAGACTGAGGTGACAGGCTCTGGCCAGCAAAGCCACCTTTGGAAACGAGTCATTCCGTCTCTGGTTACCCTAAGGCAGTGACAGGGGTGCTAAAGAGGCTCATTGTTTCTACAGCTGGCAAGGCCTCGGCCATAAACGTAGCAAAGCCCAGAGTCCATCACACAAGGGAAGCAGCCCATGGCTTAGCTCAGCGCCTACTCTCGGCAAGCCTCTCATTTCTTGTAGGAACCCGCCAGGAGTCAGAAGCTGCCCTTTGGAAATGCTCAGGCGTTGCCTCTGATGCACTGAGTTGAGCTGGGAAGTGAAATGTCCACGCAGCTAGGACAGTCTTGGGAATGTTCACGTTTGCCATGGGAGTTCTGAAGTCACCCTCTGGTCCCAAGGGGCAACCGGTCTCCAAAGCCCTAGTTTGGACTTGGAGAAGAAAAAGAATGGGTTTTTGTCTCTCAAGATGAGTTCTGTGTTTGGTGGTAAGTCCAGGAGAGTGAACATATGGAGGCTGGGACATGAGAATCATGGGAGAGCCGTGAGAGACGCAGGGGGCTGTACTGAATAGGACAGCCTGAAATCAGGCCAACAATCGCTCAACACACAGGTACCAGCCAAGGGCAATGAGACAGACTCAGTAGGGCAGCCAGGAACCAGGAAGGCATACACAAGAGGAGGAAAGGCAAATATGTACCAAGAGCTAGAAAACACAAGATTAGATTGTTGAGTGGAAACCTGGGGAGAGGGGAAAGCATAATAAAAGTTGCAATTGTTGAGAGCTGAAAGTAGGCCAGGCACTATATGAAATTAAGTGCTCTAGGGCACTGTCTCAATGTTCATCTAAGAGGAAGATACTATTACTATGCCAATGTTAAAGGTAAGAAAATTGAGGCACAGAACAATTAAGCAATTGCTCAAAACCACATTGTAATAAAGAAGTCAGAATCTGAACCCAGGTCCATATGCTTCACTGCATTTTAAAATATGAGAGTACAATCTTGAAACTAAAGAGAAATTTACAAAAGTTCATGCGGGTCAGATTGAATGAAATGTCCTCTTCCTTTTCCTACCATCCTTCAATGCTGCTTAAGAGCTCATCTCCTATAGGAAACCTTGACCACTGCTATCAGCTTCTGAGATTTATCCTTTCTCTGAACTCTGTTTGTACTTATTGTTTATGGGACACAGGAAGCACTGTATCACAACTTTTCTATTCCTCCAACTGTTTGTCCCTCACAACTGAACAACTGATTATGTCAGTAAACTAGATGCGGATATAGAAAGAAACCTAAGTGTTTTGTTTGTTAGCTCCCAAAATAGAAAGTCAATTCTTTGAGGCCTGAGGTCCGCAGTGCCTAGTACAGCAAGGGACACGCAGTGGGACCTAAGTATATTTGTGACCAAATTCCCAGAAACCAAAAAAATACCTCAATGTTCACAATAAGGAAGCATTTTCTAATGAAGAGAGTTGTTCATTAGTGGAATGTTCTAGAGTGGAGGGTATAGGAATATGGATATGAGAGTAGACTGAGCCCTACTTCTTTTGTGTATAATCTCCCCTCCCCAAAATATGTAGCTTTACTGCATTATTTCTTTATAAAACAACATATGCTCTTTGCAAAAATAAAAAAAATTAAAAACCTCTTTAATTCAAAAAAGGATAGCAAGGAACCTGTCACCCAAATCTCATCTCCCAGGGATAATAACTGCTGATGATATGGTATCTTTTTTTGTTTTAAATCTTTTTTTTATTTTATTGATATTTTACAGAGAGGAAGGGAGAGAGATAGAGAGCTAGAAACATCGATGAGAGAGAAACATCGCCCAGCTGCCTCTTGCACACCCCCTACCGGGGATGTGCCCGCAACCAATGTACATGCCCTTGACCAGAATCAAACCTGGGACCTTTCAGTCCACAGACCGACGCTCTACCACTGAACCAAACCGGTTTCGGCTGATATGGTCTCTTGTATGCTCTTAAAAGATGACTCTCAGTAATAAAACACAAAATCTTTTACATTTTTAAAGATTCTATAGTTTCTATTTTTAATGGCTGTATACCATACAAAGTTGAACAAATACCCTACTGGTAGATATTTTGTGTTGTTGTTTTTTCCCTCCAACTGTTTACCACTCAATGTCTTGATGAAATACCTGCATATACATCTTGGTGCATTTCTTCAATGGCTCCCTTAGGAAATGACACATGTTGCACTATAGTACAGTGGTTTAAAGTGTTGACTCTCTCCAGACAGCCCAAGTTGGGTTCCTCGCTCTTCCACTTAACTGCTTTGTGATCTTGGGTAAGTTATTGAACTTCTCTACAATCCAGTTTTATCATCTATATAACAGGGATAAGTAGTACATATATCTTAGGGTTGCTGTGTGGATTGAATAAGTTAATTCATGTGAAGCACTTAGTATCATTCCTTTCACACAGTAAATGTGTGGCAAATGTTAGCCATGATGATGTTGATGTTGATGATAATATGATGATGATGATGAATGATAAACTCCTGGAAGCAGGACTCTTGGCTAAAGCTTTTGGTACCCATTGATGAACTGCCCTCCAGAATGGTGTCTCAATTTACTCTCCCATTGGTAGGAATTAGAGTGTTTTAATGGAAATACCTGAACAGAGCCTACATGAGCATCTTTCAGAAATGCTAGAGGGGCTATCTCGTTAAGCCAGAAACTTTATGATTCCTGTCTACTTCATAGTCCCATGCTTCCTTGCCCTATTCCTAAATCATATACATGGACTGAAAATCAGGAGAACATGTGGAAAATTTTGGAATAAAATGTTCTAATATTCTATCTAACTTGCATTTATATAGTGCTTTGTATTTTGGAAAATGTTTTCAACTTTATGGCACAAACACCATCTAACTTATTGGTTATGAGAACTTATACTTTCCAACTGGGACAATTAAGGAATGATTAGGTTACACAATAACTGAAGAGATGCCAGGTTTCATCTTAACCTGTTTCTAGATCAGATCTTAAGACACAGCCTTACACCCAGGCTGCCTGCACCATTCACCTCACCACTGCCAAATCAAAAGCTCCCTAAGGTTCTCTTATCCTCCACTGTCACTACCAAACATTCAGAAGTTTCCTCTCTTTGGATCTTACTTACAACCACTATCTATCTCCACTCTCTAGCTACTCTTGTATCAAATCAACACACAGGCAGGAAGTAAGGATATAATCTTATTACCTGAAGTAGCTTGAAATAGTTGTCTCACTTCATCAAAGGTAAGCATTTACTAGAATTTGATAGTGAAAGTTCCCTAGCTGTTTCTATCTTACTTCTCCCTGGTCTAAAAAACACTGAAAAATACCCTCCTTCCTTTAATGGTTGTTTTTAGGTTTCTAAAGAAGTAAAGCTCAGCCCGGTGTCTCCAGGACTTCCCTGCATTCTTCATCTTAGCACTGTCCCCTGCTAGTAGGAAGTATGAATATTTCACTCTATTGGAAGCTATACATGTTTCAGCCAAAGACCCAATGCAGATCTATGCTCAGAGCAGAAAAGAACAAGTGAGTTACTTAAAAAATGGGCTCTAGTTACATTTCTGATCATTACAGCATCTGCAGAAGTAAAGGCTTCTGTCACATGGGAGAATGAGTGCTATAATCTGTGTCCTGATGTCACAATCAAGACAAGTAGTGTACTGGTAATAATACAATTATGAGAATTTGAATACACTCTTACTAGTACTTAACAATGATCACAATCAAGGCAGTTCCTTTTTCTTAAAATATATGGTACTTAATTTTGGTCTTCAGTGATGAAATTTTCATATTCTTGCTTTTTACATTCAAATACAATGCACCCAATGCTGCTGCTATGTGCAGATTATGCAGGCACAACTTTTAAAAAATCTACTATACACAGTAAGGCTTTCTTTTGATGGGCATCTGTAGTGGTCACCTTCAGGTGTGTTGTTCTTTAGGGTCCTAAACCTTTGCTTGTCCTCAGCCTCCTCTCTCTGGTTTGTTAGCAGGCAATATTTTTAGGCATCTGATCAATTACCCTGTAGGTGAAATGCTAGGAGGACTACGAAGGAAGGAGAAGATACTGTTCTGCCCCTAAGGAGTCTAGAATTTAGTTGCAGATCCAAACCAACATCTTTAAATCAATAAAAGTACTACTTTTAGGGATGCAATTTTGTTAACTTTGCATTAGTGCTAAATAACATGAGGATATTGGTGTGTGGTAAGGCATGGATCACCACAGAAGGTTTAGAAGGAAGAGCAGTGGAAGTGACAATGTCTTTGTCATACTGGACACCCTTTTCCTAGAACAGTGCCTGACCCATAACAGACATCCCTCCCTCTTCTGAGGGACCAGGTGTTTTCCAAGCCATCTGCCTTCCCACAGGGCTCAGAGTCATTACAGTTTCCATCAGGTTGTGCAGTTTTCTGGCGGTCTCCCCAGAGGGGCTAAGCCTCAGCTAACAAGTCAGTGTGTGCCCCTTCTCTGGGGACAGTGTCCCGGGAGCGTGGTGTGCACATCTAATGAGGCTGGGTTTTCTGGTGGGAGGGAGGAGCAGCGAGGCGGCGATGCAGGTCTGCAGGGGTGAACTTGTTTCCTCAGCAAAGCAAGTGTACCCCCCCCCCCCCCCCAATAGACACCCCACAGCTCTCCCCTTTATCATCAGTCTCTGCTCAGGAGAGGGCATTCCTCCATGAACTCTCAGACACTATGTCTGGCTTACCAGAGAGCCCTTGTTGACAAGGGCATTTCCTCCAAGCACTTTTTCACGGAGTACACATTTGAGGGTGAGGGTTAGGAAAGCCACAGGCTGGGTCACGTGGTATCTAGACGGGAAGACACCACCGCTCTGCCCTCTCCAGGCAGCCACAGCTCCCACTTGTCAGAGCTAAACCCGGAAAGTGGCTGCCTCTGAAACGCATCCTGTCTGCACCAACTGCCTGGGCGCCTGCAACTCCTAAGGCTCATCCCTCAGTGGACCAGCTTCACGCCCACCTTGAGGAGAAATACAGATGTGCCAACAGGTGATACTGTGAAAAGCCATTCTAGTCCTGGACTCAAGGCCTCCATCTATAAAATGAAACTTTGGGGCTAATTGAGTTATTTTTCTTAATTTTAGAAAATTGTTTATTTCACTTACAATTTTCACTTTAAATGCAAAATAGCTGATAAAAAGAAAAAAAATTGAAACATATTATACTGACCCTTTGCCCCATAGAGACACATCAACCTTTGGAATTTCCTTTTAGGTAATTAGATAAAAAATAAAAACAAACTTAAAACTATTATTTCTCTCCAAAAGAAAAAGTTGAGGTACTTATTTAACAGATGTGTGATCTCCATCCAAAAATGGTTTCTCTATTAACAGCCTTGCTCCATGTGGTCCCAATCCGTTCCTTCTAAAGCAGATCTTTGTTAGAGCACATGTTCATAAAACTGACAATGTTCCTTAATAATCATTAAGGTTGCAAAATAATATTGCATGTCAACTGTAATTGAAAAAATAAAATAAAAATTAGCAAGTTAAAAAAAATCATTAAGGTTGCCATAGAAACACAGGGGGCTAGCACCAGACCTCACAGCGGATATACTGCTGGGAGAGCCTTTAGGGGATGCTCAGGAGAACCTGAGAGAGCTGGCCTTCCAGCCTCAACCTTGCTGTCCACACAGGAAAGCTGGGTTCTGTGCTCATGGCCTGAAGGATCAACACTTGCCCCTGCTTCTCCAAATTAAGATAAATTTCTCACCAACTCAACCTGGAGTTGGACGCCAGACTCCTACTCAGCTGAGTCAACCTTAGAGGAGGCAATACAGCTCAGCACCAAGCAGCAGGAAAGCCAGACATTCCTGAACATTCTGTAGGAAACCCACAAACCATCACCACTCCCTGCCTGCTCCATTGGGCCCTGTTCTCCACCAGGTGGACTCCCACCCCAGTCCCAGCAGCAGATTCCACACCTTGTAAAGGTGTTCCCTGACCACCTCCCCCCCCCCCCCCCCCCCCAGCACCTCCTCCCCCCAGGAGAGCAGGGACCTCAAGACAAAGTGAGCCCAGAGCCTGGCGGGAAACCACGGGGACGTGGGCTCCATCAGAGCAAAGGGCTCGCTGAGTCACCAATGGCTTTGTTGACACAGCTAATGCCACCCCTTGACATTTGAAAAACAATAGTTTGTTAATGCTACAAGAATTAATGACCACTTTAGTTTAGACCTTCAACCAACCAGCATGTTTTTAATTTTTCCAACCCAGCAGGATAAGCTGTCATGTTTAATCTAAGTTGTCACCTTCCCAACATTTCACATCTGGCTGTGTGGCAGACTGCTACACGCATTGGGTGAGTAACATCATTGTTGAGGATAAAGGCAGCACATGAGCTGCAGGAACACAAGTAAGAATGGCCACTGACCATGGGCACCAAACACAGATTCCAGGACAGAGAAAGCTTAGGGTGTACACCTGTGCACATCGAGCAAAGCGCACAACCCAGAGAAGACAAATATTTTCCTTCATTTACACTAGCTTATAAAAATGCAAAGGGGAAATAAAAACCTTTTCAATAATAATAATAATAATAATAATAATAATAATAATAATGATAATAATAGGCAGCCCGTTACAATAATAAGGAAAGCAATAGCAAGTTGGAGATCAAAGCTGCCTCATTCTAGGCATTCATGAGCTACCTGGATTTCACATCTTCCACTAGCGCGTTTCCCTCCCGGCTTTGGTAGAATTACATGTGGTTGAAACCTTTATAAAGAGTTAAAGAACCATAGGCAGAATCACCCTTTCTCATGCAGAGTCTCATTTTTTTATATTTGCCTTTGACAGCATTTTTGCTGTTCCCAAAGAAACTTTATAGAAAAAAACCCACACGCCTGAAGCAGGGTCTGAAACTTGACAGACAAAGACAGCAATGGCAACACTGCCTGACCAAGATAGTAACAGCTCGAACCCAGCAAACAGTTAATAAAACATGGTCATTTTCATCCTTTGCCACCTGTCTGGTTGTTTTTCTAAAACGGTAAAGTTTGTGGTCTGGTAAATTTGTGGTCTGTGGTTACACAACTGATTTTAATCACAGCTTCATTCTGGGGCACCCCGTGATACTTGAGGGTTCTTGTCTGGGTAACCACTCTCATCACTAAATTGTCAAAGCCTGGACAGAAAAGTGAGCTGAAGTGGGCTAGTCTCAGAGCCACGGCTAGACATTTAGCCGGAGCTTCAATTCCAGCTGAACTGAATCAAATTCAAAGAACTAAATAAGAGGAAGGCACCAAGGGGGATTTTTAATGAATCTTCCTCCTTCTCATATCAGGGCCTATGACTGTTGGGGTGGGGCTACTTGGTGGTGGGGGGCCCGCTTCTCAGCATCACCCCCAGAAGCTGGACATCATGTCCTTCACAACACCTGGGGGGAGCAGTCATAAGCTGCTTTCCCCTAATTTAGAGAAGCAGACAATTTTTTGTTTTCACTTTTTAAGACAAAAACAAAATTTAGAATGAAACCAGAGTCTCTTCTCTAATCGGGCAGAGTAATTTTTTCTCCTCCTCTTTTTCACTTGACTCAGTTTTGTGCCACACAAAGCGACTGTGCTTCTCCCCAAGTTATTTACATACGGATCCTCCCTCCGCTAATAGGGGATCTTACACCCTATCAAGAAAAAATAGTCAGCACTTCTTTAAAAGCCACATTAAAATACATTCTTGCCGGATTCTTCTGTCTTTTCACATAAATATTTTATTCCCTCATTATACTCAGGCTCAGGTGAGTGATGTGAGTCACACGTTTGATCTCACCAATGGCAGGAGCCCTCCCCAGTGCCAGCTCTCCTTTGGGGATGGGGGACAAGGAGGAAGGAGAACATTGATGTTCAGAAGCTGCGACTCACCCCGCTCCATTATTATGATTGGAGACCCTGTCCCCACGCCCCTCCTTCCTCTCTGCTTCCCTCCTCCTGAATCCTACGATCCATAGAGGGAAACTGAGTCGGTGCAGTTGCTTCTGGATTCAGCAGGTGCCTAGGGTTAACGTACACATTTACCAAAATCCTAATAAGGAACTAATTGCAATTCCACTTTACCACCTGGTCCGAGAGACTGTTCATCCCCCTCAGCTGTTTGCCAGTGTGGGGAGGAAAGGCAGTCCGGAGCTTCCCCTGCCTGGGCGACGGATGAAATGCCATCCTCGGACCTAGTAAAACTGAACTGCAAAGGGTTCCAAGAGTTTGAACTAGAAGACAAAACTGCAGTGGGCCAGGAGATAGGCGAGTGGGGGCGTCTTTAGCTGGAAGTCCGCCCACCTCCTGAGGGTGTGGCTGTGGAGCTGTGTCAGGTGTGCAGGTGGCCGGCAGCTTGTCCACAGGAAGCCCAGGGCCCGAGGCCTCTGCAGATGCCTGGCTCTGCCCTGAGTTCCAGGGGACTCTTGGCACCACTCCCTGCGCAGGGCCAGAGTTCACTGTGACTCCTGCGCAGGCAGAGCTTTGGGGAAGAGTGTTTCAAAAAGTCAACCACTTCACCCTTCTGAACAGAGGCAGCAGCAAACCTGTTTTCACCCAGTGTAGAACCTTCTGTACAGCGAAGCCAGAGGTCCCACATATCTGAGATGAGCTGAAAGGACAGTGAGAAGCCAGCTGTGCTTTGTCATCCACACAGTTCTGCAGACCTGACACCCCAGTCAGCCAGGTGCCAGCCAGCCAGCCATTGCGGGAAGAAGTAGTCTGTTGCTGATGTCATAGGGCTCAGTGGGCCATTGGCATCAGGTCGGCTGTGCGTCAAGGTGTTATCTGGCCAAGGCCGCTGGGGACACTGGTGGGAAGAGGGAGAAGAGCACTGGGGTGGGCCTGGGCCTCTCAGGGACCAGCTGTCCCACAGAATAAGGTGGGTGCATGCTTGTCTTGCCTTCTGTAAGGGCCTGCAAGTTTCCAAGTCTGCTGGAACCTCAGGACAATGCCAAGGCTTCTTCCAGCCACCAGGAGCGTGCATAGTGCTGTTGGAGAGTCTTGCCCTGAGAAGCTTGTCGTATCTGCAGAATAATTAGAGGGAATACTTTTATCGTCTTCATTGGCAGTAGGCGCCTTCGTGGCGGGGGGATACCTTTCTCGTGGTCTCAGTTGAAAACCTCCTGGATTCATACCCTGGCCGGTGTGGCTCAGCTAGTTAGATGTTATCCCGTGCACCAAAAGGTTGCCTGTTTAAGCCCTGGTGAAGGTACATGCCTGGGTTGCAGACTCAATCCCTAGTAGGGTGTGTGCAGGAGGCAGCCAAGTGATGTTTTGCACTCACACAGATGGATGTTACCTCTTCCTCTTCTCTCCCTTCCTCTCTCTCTGTCCAGAGGATGTCCATGACCTACTAGCTCCACTTGCTCCATGCCCAAACTCCTCCCGGGCTCATAGCTGCACCACATGCCTCAGGCCTCTCCAGGCATCACGGGTGGTACAGTGATGCTGGAGCTCCGTGGCACACATGTTGTGAATGTCTTGGACTGTTCAGCCGGGTATCGGAGCTCAAACTGTAGCCTATAGAAACAGGAATTCCAGGAGGCAGGTCTTGCCAGGTGACAATGAGCCAGCGGTGTTTTCTGTCCACAGCGGTGACGGTGATGTTGACGGGTGGGTCAGGCTGTAGGATTCCCTACCCCTCAAATGTTTGGGGTCTGCTAGACTTGCTGCTGGCACTGGTGGTGACGCACAAGGACACAGCATAGAAAGAATTGTCTCCCTCTGAGACTGCCAACTGGCAGGAGAGCTTCTGGGGCTCCTGAGAACACTGGCACAGCTCCCAGGAGTCCTCCACGGGACCATACGAAAACGGAAACATCCTCACCAATAGCACCGCCTTGGCCCTTGGGGAAGGAGGGCTCGGAGGATACCACTCACAGTGGATGTTGCTGATGGGGCTCTTCCGGAAGCAGGAGAGCTGAGGCTGCTCCGGGGGAACATCCACCAACAGGCACACAGCTGCAACGGGGCAGCCACCCTGGTGGCCTGAGCAGTTTCCAGCATCGCTGAGCTGCACGGATCTCAGAAGCAGCCTCCTTCCCCAACCAGCCCGTCTGCGGTGGTTTGAACCTGTCACCTGATTCCTGAGCACCAACTGAACTGTGGCATTGTCTCCCGGTTCCCCGCCTGGACAGGCCAGGGTAATGCTGGCCCCAGGCCTGCCGGTCAGCACATCGCACTCCACCCCCAGTGCAGGGCACCAGCAGGGCGGTGAGCAGCGCGCAGAGGACAGCCAGCCTGCTCCCTCCTCCACCACTAGCCTATGGCCCCAAAGCAGCAGCGGTGGACAGGAACTGGGTGGGCAGGGCGGTGTCTGTGGGCACGCTCAGGCCCTGAGAGCAGCCCTCATCCCCGGGCGGCTTCTTAGGGCCCTTTTCTAGCTCAGAAACATAATCTTTAAATTGCCATGATGGCTGAGGCTGAGGTGGGAAAATGAGCCCCCCCCCCCCCCCCCCCCCCCCCCCCCCCGGAGAGCTGTGCTGTCCCGGGAAGAAAAGTCTTTAGGAACAAGACACAAGGTCAGATGCATTCATTTCCTCACTGACTACTGACTTCTTAATGAAGACCTACCGTGAATGCCTATCATGTGCCAAAGAGTGCAAAGCCCTGACAGAAACAAAAACTCTGTCCCTGCTTAAGGTGGAACATTCTACCACATGCACTATAGGCCAGGTTTTATGGAGATTTTAATGAGGCACCGAATGCATCACGAGGTTCCCAGGTGATGTGCTGACTTAGGAATGATTTTCAATCACACAACTCCCCACTTCTCACTGCAAGTTTAGTATGTGGCCAGGCAGCATAACCGGAGTTAACTGTGAAACCAATGTAATTATGAATAAAAGTATGTTTTATTTTGTAAACCTCAGAGGCTGTGTGAGGGATTTAGAAGACTGTATGTATATCGGTTTGGTTTACCTGTTCTTTTGGTTTACCTTTCTCTGCCAACCAGCGTTACCTTATGCTGCTTAAAGTTTTATCCCAGTCATTCTCAATGGTGGATTTTCCGCAAACCACGGGGCCCTATGCCGCCCTAATGAGTGTCTGCCACTGACAGGAGTGTGGGGAGGTGCGGGGAGGCTCCAGGCTCCATTGCTTTGGGATGTGCTAAGGGCATTTCTCCCTTTGGCCCAAGAAAGCCGTGTCAGAATGAGTGCTGATCCAAAGGTGGTCTGGCCTTGGTTGGTAGCTCTTTGTAGAAAGATGGCATCTTTGACCTCAGGGGGATCGGAAGCATATTTAGATGTAGGGACCAAAAACAGTGTTTCAAGGGAGTAATGGTGGCCACCAGCTACCAACATAGCCTTTTATCTTTGTCTGATTCAGCTCTGAGTCCTTCCTGTAGTCCCAGCTTCTTGGAGCAGGCCAGGCTGTTTTATGTCTTCTCATAGAGATTTGCTTTAATTACAAAACATAAAGATAAACTCAAGTTTCTAACACACACAGGAATAGAACAACCCTAGAAAATAATAGCCCTATAAAAAGAGGACTTGGAGTAGCTGGTACTGAGAAGGGATAAAAGAACAGAGTAATAAAAAAAATTAAATGTCAGTATCAAGCATATTAACTGAACTGACAATCCCTGTGTGAATAATAAAACACCTTCGACTTAATAATACTAAAAATGCATTTGACTTAGATAATAATGGGGGAAATGAACCAAGAATTCGCATCTTGTTTCCGTCCAGGCTTCCCCTCACCTATAATCTTAAGAGAAGCAGAGTTCGAGCTTATTGCATAGTTAGCCTTTCAGAGGTGAATAGAGGGAGATGACTCCCAAAGTCGCCTTTGCACTAAAAGTGAACAAAAAGGCAGGCATGCCAGTTGCAGAAGATAATGTGTGCGTTAAATATAAAACAGTTCTTACCAGAGAAGAACTTAAGGCACTCGAAGGAGAGACCTTAGGCTGTACAGCAGATTAGGTTTCAAAAGATGATTGCAACAATACCTCCCATCCCATGTACTCTTTTGCCAAAATAACCTTTCTGCTCACCCATCAAGAGATGGAGTCTATTTCCCCTCCCTTTGAATCCCAGGTGGCCCCAGGACTTGTTTTCATCAGAAGAATATAAGGAGGAGTGATGCTGTATACCTTCTGAGGCTGGCCCTTAAGAGGTCAGATTCTGCTTCACCACTTGGAACAGTCATTCTTGAAATCCAGTTGTCAGGTAATGAAGGCTAAGCTACCCAGGTAGAGACGTAGACAGAGGTACCAGCCTCCTAACAACCCTGCCAAGGTGCCACTTGCGAGTGACACCATCCTGGCTCTCCACCCCAGCTGCCCTCTGATTGCAACATCATGAAAGACGCCCTGTCAAGCGGAACTGCCCAGCTGAGCCCGGCCACATTCCTGACCCACAGAAT